GTTGCGCCTGGCTCAGATTCCAAACAACCAGACGCGGAAGTAGTGATGTGTTACTTTTGTGTAAAAGTGAAAGATGGGTTTCGTTACATTACCGTTCGGGTTTTGGTTACAACAGACACTGATATATCATTACGGATTATGAAGAGATAAGAGAATAGGAGGAGAATCGTTAACGCTCAATATACCAATTTCTCAACATGTAAACAGCTCTAGTCGTTTTCAGACGTCCTATAAAAATACTATTTGCTCGGATTTTTGCACATCGCCAAAGGTTATGTCTGCTGAGCACATGACTGAAAACAATTGTCAACTGTCTATTTATTTTTATAAAACGGATTTCTGTAGCTAAAACACAGAAATCCCCCTCCCCCCAAATAGACCACATGATTGAATACTGGTCGAATGGATATACATTTAAAGTGTTTTGGGTTTTCTTCAAAAAAAGAAGTCGGTATTTTGACATTTTTCATTCATCCAGGCTGCAAGGCCTCCTTGTCATCACCATAATCTCCAGCTCACTGCACAGATTCTGTATCAGATTGAATATGACGGTCTGGCTGGGCCGCTCCAAAATGTTTAGATTGCTTCCAGTCAGAAGACAACTTTAAGCCTCCATACGGCAGGGCGATGAAGCATTTGGGGCTCTACGTTTGTGTTGCCTATTTGCACAGTAGACACGAAACCTGTTTATGTTATATTCTCTTCTATTAAAACAAACAAACAAAAAATACCCCTTCTCACTGCAAAGTGCGCGCTCCCGACGCAAGAGAAACAAATTTCGCTTGGCATGCAGCCAGCGACTTTCAGATCACTCCCAGTAATCTCCAGCAAGAAATTCCATTATACCCATAAACCCACTAACACGCCCATTACATCCGGTCGGCGAGGCTGTCTTGCAATTTCTGTGTAAGAAGCAAACACTCTCAGTCACCCGTGCCTCGAAAATCCCACGCCGGTGATGCTTCCACCCTCTGAAGGAGGGACTTATAAATGGAGTATAAATGTTAGAAGACGCGTTCGGAAAAATCAGACCGACGGCTTTACAGAGAATCGGTGAAATGCAAAGGTAAGAAGAGAAACCCGTCTTGTTTTTCTCCCTTGCACATTTAATAGTTAACATTACTGCGGTTTATTGCTGTAGAATAAATCTGCAGCTTCCAGTTTTAGGAGTTTCTTTTTTGAATGTCCTTAGATTCCCCCTTGTGCGCTCGTAAGCCGTCTCTTTATTCACGGTTGTTGTCGCTGTAGAACAGCACTGACCTGTCGCGTTTCCCTTCAGCTTCCCAAAACCTCAGTTCTCCAACTGGCTATTAGAGCAGGTGGAAACGGGCCAGTATGCTGGCCTGTGCTATGTTGCAACAAACAAGTTCAGAGTCCCCTGGAAGCACAACTCCAGAAAAGACTGCAGTGACGAGGACAGTAAAATCTTCCGGGTAAGTTTATTGCCAGATTAACCTTTGTTATCCGTGCGATCAGATAAAAGGCTTAAAATGACTATGTTGACATTTTTACTGAAATAATAAGCTACTACATTCATGAGTAAGCGACTTACAAACTAAGCGTGTGCTTTAAATAGTTCCAAAAATAGTTTTGTCGTGTTATTATTACTATCAGGCTGGAGTTGTTTAGCTTGTTGCAGCTGTTCCCAGAGGCAGTTATGGCATACCATCTCTAGTGGTGACACTTGATCTTGAGTCAAAGAAATCCTGTACTAATGTTTTTGATACATTTGATGTGCAAAACCACAGCTTGTTTTCATACTTAGAGCACAATTATACTCCGGTGCCAGTATTAAAGGAATTCTACAGATTTCAGTAGTGTCTAAATTTTTCATAAACAGCCACTTCTTCTTAGATGTGAAATGCAAATAGTGTGTAAAACAATTAGGAGCTGCACGTGAAGTCCAATGTGTGTAATTATCTCATAAAACGTATAGTAAGTCTGAATTTTCTACCCAGCTGTCATTATGTTTACACCTCTCGGCATTTCCTCCATAGGCTTGGGCAGTAGCAAGTGGGAAAATTAATGAGTTCCCTAATGACAAAGCCAGGTGGAAAACCAACTTCCGCTGTGCTCTGAACAACCTCTCTGTGCGCTTCAAGATGATAAAAGATAACTCCAAGAATTCTGACGACCCACATAAAGTCTATGAGATTATCAACACTGCACGTAAGCTAATTGTCACTTAAACCGAGATTCTGGGGTAAAACCGTTCCAAGTTTGAATGTATAAATAACGCAGATCTTTCATCTTTCCCTGAAGAAAACCAAGACGGTCTGGCAACACGCGACCCTTGGGAGGGCAGTGACATTATACCAGATATATACAGCTCTTCCACAGAGTACCTCCTTTCAGCAAATGAGGTTCAGCATCACATAAAGCACACTTTCACTTCTCTTTGTTGGTGTAATCTCACTTGTCTTTGTGCTTCTGTCTAAATATTAACTGTTTCACTGCCTCTCCCCAACAAACAGCATGATCTGGTTAACAATTTGATGGCCTTGGGTCTTGGCAGCCAGCCAACAGGTAAAGTTTGTCGATTGCATTTGGTTTTCTGTGGTTTATAATGGAGCTTAATTGTAGTTTAAAATGATTTTACTGTCAAAACAGAGGAGCAACTGTGGACAGAGAACTATGGCCAGCAAAATCCACCCCCAACTGAAAGCTATCCTGTAGCAGCCGGAAACAACCAACAGCTTTTACCAGTTCAGCAAACCTGTTATGGAGGTATGTTTAGACAAATTTATCTTCCTAGATGAAAGGTTTACTAAAAAATATGTGTACATAGTTACCCAAGAAGGAGGGATCTGTTGTCTATTAACTGTTTTGTTTTGTACAGTAACTCCTGCACCAGTACCTCAGCCGGGGCTATGTGAACTAGAGGTATCCATCCACTACAGGAAAAAAGAAATGGTAAAGATGACTTTGAACACTCCCAAACTGCAGCTCCACTACAACTCAGAGGCCCATGAGTATGACGCATTCAAACTCTGCTTCCCCTCCACTGACGGTCTGCTGGACCACAAACAGGTATAATCATTACATTAGCTAGATGCATGTTCTACACAGTTGTACCATCCAAGCAGACACTAGAAATTATTTTTTTATGTTACTTCAGGCATGAAGCTGACAGATTCTGATGTGATAAATAAAATTTGACTTTAGAATAGGACAGATGGATTTTACCCCTAATTTTAGGTACAGTATACTGCTGTGTGATGAAGCATTTTCATGTTTTACTCACCACAACCTTCTTATTACCAGATTGAATACACCAACCGCATACTCAATAGCATCCAGAGAGGTCTATTCTTGGAAGTGCAAGAAACTGGTATTTATGCCTGGAGGCAGGATAGATGCCATGTGTTTGCCAGCACCAGTGACCCTAGTTTGGCTAATGCAGAGCCAGCAAAGCTTCCCCAAAACACCATGGTGGAGCTCCTTAATTTTGAAAAGTTTGTGAATGGTAGGTGTAGATCTTTGCTCATTTATATATTTGTATAATACACCATATACTGTCTGTGAAGGTTCTTAGTCATCTAGGTCATCATAGTCTAAGGAGCTTGGAAAGAAAAGCGTCTGGGCTTCTTTGAGTTGCTTGAAGACGTTTCACCTCGTAAGCCAACACCTCTTTTCAAACAGAGGTGG